TAATATATAATAATATAATAATAATAATATAATAATTATAATAATAATATAATAGCTATATAATAATAATAATAATAATAATAATATATAATAATATAGTATAATAATAATAATAAGATAATAATAATATAATGATATATAATAATATAATAGTTATAATGATAATAATATAAAATAATAATAATCATGAATAATAATATAATAATACTAATAATTATTATTATATATATAATAATAATAATTATTATAGTATAATAATCATAATACTAATAATTATAATACTATTATTATAATATAATTAAGAATAATAATATAATAATTATAATAATAATAATCATATAATAATTAATTAATAGTAATAATAGTTATAAAATAATATTATTATAATAATAATATCATAATAATATAATTAATTATAAAATAATTATAACAATAATTATAATAATAATAATTATAGCAATAATTATAATATAATAATATAATAATAGTTAATAATATCAATAAATATAATAATATAATATAATAATAATAATTATAATTATATATTAATTATAATAATAATAAGTAATAATAATAATATTTATAATAATAATAATAGTTATAATATAATAATAATCATGATAATAATAATTATAATAAATAATAATATTTAATTATAATAATAATAATTATAATTATAATAATAATAATTATAACAATAATAATAATAATAGCAATAATAATAATCTGATAATAATAATTATAATATATAATGATAGTTAATAATAATAATCTAATAATAATAATTATTATTATAAATTTAATATAATAATAATCATAATAATAATAATTAATTATTATTATTATAATAATGATAAGAATAATAATAATAATAATCATAATAATAATAATAATTATAATAACAAGTTATAATATTAATAATAATAATAATAATCATATAATAATTATTGTAATAATAATACTAATAATAATAATAATAATAATAAGAATAATAATAATTATATAATAACAATAATAATAATTATAATAATAATACTAATAATAGTAATAATAATAATAATAATTATAATAATAATTATAACAATCATAATAATATTTATAATAATACAATAATAATAATAATAATATAATTATATAATAATAATAATGTAGCCACATAGACAAAGAGAAACCAATCGTCACACTCAGACGCTTGCAGTATAATGCCGCGTTTGAGGATACCACCTGCAGTAGCAGAGAATAGCTAACAGAAAACGGAATAATAATAGTATATAATAATAATAATAGTTATAATAACTAATAATGATAATAATAATAATAGTTATATAATAATAATAATTATAATATAATAATAATAATCATGATAATAATAATTATAATAATAATAATGATAGTTATAATAATATAATCATAATAATAATAATAATAATAATAATAATATAATAATTATAATAATGATAATAGTTATAATTAATATTAATTATAATAATAATCATAATAATAATGTCTGGCCGGTTAGGACACTGTTGCCAGCTGTGTCAAACCCGCTACCGTAGCAACAACAAGGATAGACGGTACAGCCAGCGATCCTCCAGTGTGTGCCAGGGGTTTTTGTGTCTCTTCCTCCTGGTGCAGGAAAACATATCTGTGCAGAATGTGTACATATCGGCTCCTAGATGGAGTCGTATAAAAAGAGCCACACCCATAATTTCTTTATGGAGATGAATTTTGAATATAGCCTCGGAAAAAGGTCGCTGCCTGGGGGATCGTCAGGGCATATCTGGAGCCGGCGCTGGATATGACAGCAGCGGGACGTCGGTGGCAGGGTGCTGAGGAGGCGGGCCCCGTGTCCAAGAAGCAACAGCCCCCCAACAAAGTGGTAGCCAAACAACAACTAGTGCCACCGCTGCCGAAAGTGCTGCACAGGATCTCAGCCAGTGCTCACTCAAGCAGGTCTCCCTAGAAGACGTATAAAGTGGACGGTGTCCATGAATGAGTCAATCATGCGAATCTTCTACAAAGTTACCAACCTAGGTAGAGAAACAATCGGCTTTCTGTAGTGAATATCCGGAGATCAAAGTATCTGAGCAGAGAGTGGCAGACCAATATCGAGTGATAATCAAAAATAATCTTATCCCACAACCAAGACTGAATGCCATCAAACAAAGTGCAGCTTGATCTTATGCAATGCAACAAGAAGGGAGTAATAACGAAATACGCGATAATGGTCAATCTGAGCAAGAACAGATAGAAAGTGAACAGCCTGGAGTTGACGACAGTAATGGTCAAGACACAGAAATTTTGGTATATTAATAACTGAAATGGGTAGAGCATATGCCGAATTTGATGGAACGAACCCGTAGAAAGACCACCATTACCAAGTTGAAGTCATCTAGAAAGCTTGCTGTGGTATTGTGTCAGTTAAATAAACAGATCCTGCCAGAGTATCTAGCACACTCCAACTGTATAGAACAACTTCACACACTGATATACTGTGCAGCTGTTGCAACAGTAAGAACACTTGGTGTCAAAATGCCAACTCAAAAGATTACTGAAAATTCAGTAAACCAATAACACCAAAATGGGAAAACGTCTGGAAAGAAGAACGGCAGACATTCGCAGAGATATCGGACGTCTTACCCAATTCACACAAGGAATAACAACTCGAAAAGTCCGAAAACAAGCTATGGAAATCCATCATTCTCACCAAGACGCAACTAACATCAACGAGTGGCAATGCCTTGATACCTTGAAGCAAAAACTGTCCGTATATACTCAGCGATTGAAAAGGTATAAAGCGTCCAGTCACAGAAAGCACGACAATGCGCTCTTTCAACGATCCGAAAAGGCATTCTACAGGAAACTGTCATCCGAACCCCAGGAAAAGAGCAAAACAGTGCCCACAAAGGACCAAGTAGAGGAATTTTGGGGCAAGCAGTTTGGCGCGACAGCTTATTACAACAAGTGTGCAGGATGGATTACAGATGAAGAAGCGAAGAGCTATTATTGCAATCCCATGCAGTATAGGGCATATACCAAACAAGAAATCGTGATATCGTTAAGCAGTTTGCATAACTGGAAGGCCCCGGCCCAGACCAGATTCATGGGCTACTGGATAAGAAGCTTGGTGCATGCATGAACAACTAACAAGATATATCAATAGACATGCTTTTGAATCCAAATAAGACTCCCAACGTTCCTAACAAAGGGCTAACGGTATTAATACCACAAGATCTCACTAATACAGAAGACCCAGCAAATACCGCCCAATTACCTGCCTTCCCTACACTATACAAGGTGGTCCACTGCTTGTATATCGAAACGAATTTATGCTCATGTGAGAAAACGATATTATTGCGCCACAACAAAAAGGCTGTGCTAAGGGAGCTATGGGATGCAAAGAACAGCTGGCTATCGATTCAGTCATCTGTAACCAAGCCTATACCAACAAAAGGAACCTATACATTACGTACACATCGACTATCAGAAGGCATACGATTCTGTACCTCATGAGTGGCTTGTCAGGGTGCTGAGGCTCTATAAGGTAGATGAGCATGTAGTGGCCCTATTAGAACATATGCTGAAGACCTGGAGAACCAGAATAACACTGCATACAAACGGGACCAGCACCATTCAAACTGAGACGATCTCTATCCGAAAAGGTCTCTTTCAGGGTGATTCATTAAGTCCCCTATGGTTTGCCTAGCTATAAATCCCCTCTCAAACCTCTTAAATGCAACAGGGTATGGATATAGTCTGAAGATAACAGGAACGCATCCATAAAACTGAACCACTTGCTGTATATGGACGACCTAAAGGTAATAGCTGCTACTGAGAATCAAATGAAACAGCTGCTAGAGATAGTCGGTCAGTTCTCAGATGACATAAGTATGCGATTTGGGATGGATAAATGCAAAACCTTATCTATACGTAGGGGAACATCTACCCTGGAGGATTTTCAAGCTGCAGAGGCCAAAACATTGACGCAATGGACGCAAATGACACATACAAGTACCTTGGAAATGGCGCAGGCCCGAAGGATAGACCATAAAAAATGAAGGAAGCTATATCGCAGACCTTCACAAAAAGAATACGGCTACTTCTGAAAACAGAACTCAATAGTAAGAATCTAGTCAAGGCGATTAACACCTACGCATGCTCTGCCTTGAACTACTCGTTCGGTATAGTTCTGTGGAGTAAAACTGACATCGAGAAACTAGAGAGGCGGGTAAGGACTATGCTAACAAAAAAAGGAACGCACCATCCTCGCAGTGCAATAGAGCGCACAACCTTACCCCGACAGTTAGGAGGAAGAGATCTAATGGACATCAGCAAGCAGCTAGCTCAACAGGTACTCGCCTTGCGATCCTACTTCTTTGAGAAGGCCGAGATCTCTGAGCTGCATCGCATCATATGCTCAATAGATGACACAACGCCCTTACACCTTAGTAGACGAGATGACCAACCGAGTCACCAAACCAACGAACAGAAGCTACAACGATGGATTGAAAAACCTCTACATGGGAGACATGCCAACGAGATTAACCAAGAAAACGTTGACAAGAAAGCGTCAAACTATTGGCTTACCTCAGGCCAAATGTTCCCTGAGACTGAGGGATTCCTTGTAGCTATACAGGACCAGGTTCATCCCTACCAACAATTACAAGAGGTTCATACTTAAGAACTTGCAACAGACTGATAAATGCAGGTACGGCTGTCAGGACTCCGAAACAATACAGCACGTAACTGGTGGATGCCAAGCATTCGCTCCAACGGACTATAAGGAGCGCCACGACATAGCTGCCAAAATCATTCACCAGGAGTTGGCATACAAATTCAAACTGATCGAATGCAAGCTACAGTACTACAAATATACACCGCAATGTGTCCTCGAGAACGACAAGTATAAACTATACTGGGATAGCACTGTGCTTACGGACCAATACATAAAACAAAACAGACCTGACATAATCATTGTCGACAAGGGCGCCCCAGAAAGTAACTCTGACTGATGTGGCCATACCTAATAGTAACAATTTAACATACAAGCATAATGAGAAAGTTGCAAAATACAGGGAGCTAGAATTTCAAATTAAACGCCAGTGGAAAATGAAGTACGTGGAAACAATACCAATAATAATGTCATCTACAGGGGTGATACCAAGAAGGCTGCTAGAAACATCAAAGCGCTGGAACTGAGTGAACACATTTACAAAATCATACAGAAAGGAGTTTTGCTGGCAACTGCCCGCATAGTAGAAAATTTATGGGAAATGCAAGTACCTAGGGAGGTCACTATTGAGGCTTACCCCTTTGATGCTTGAAACGTCCGGGTTAAGCCAGAACACCCCGATAACGGGAGTAACAAGCCCCTACGGCTAAAAAAAATAATAATAATAATTATAATTATTATTATTATAATAATAATAAGAATAATAATAATTATAATAATAATAATAATAATCATAATATAATAATAATAATAATAATAATAATAATAATAATAATTATAATAATAATAATAGTTATAATCATCAATATTAATTATAATATAATCATAATAATAATAATTATAATTATAATAATAATAATTATAACAATAATTATAATAATAATAATAGTAATAATAATAATAGTTATAATAATATTAATAATAATAATAATCATAATAATAATTATTGTAATAATAATAATAATAATAATTATAATAATAATTAATTATAACAAAAATTATAATAATAATAATAATAATAATAATATAATATATAATCCTACTACAGAATAACTAAACTAGAAACATCTACAGAGCCCTATGGTACTGAATACACAAACAAGTTATCAGAACTTCCCTCACCTGCAAGGCAAAACTGTGCAAAACGTACTAGACCAGCGCCGATCCGTATTCATAAACAACAGATTGCCGGCCGCGGAGATAAACAAAATAAGAGAAGAGATATCCATAGAATTAGGAATGCAGGTTACAAGCTCCGCACGAGCACACAGAAAACCAAGAACAAATTGAGATAAACGCTGGCCAACCCTCTAAATACGCAGATGAGTCAGGGGCTTGTTCATGAGTATGATGTGTGGAACCAACTCTTAAACCAAGCCTACCAAAGCTAATAATAAAACCCCATACATCTGAGTATATCGCTGAAGTTAACAAAGTAATAGATAACGAGATTACAGAAGATACAACCTTGACTGAGCTCCATAGCCTGTTGTACATTGGAGCACTTACAGTCCTAAAATTAATGAACAGAGAGTTGGCGAACAATGTGTAAGGAAAAACAGAAAACTGCCAGCCTGGGAGATGAGGATATCGCGTAATATAGAGGAGATTAGAAAGGACATAGCAATACTCACCCAGTACCACAGGTCTGAATGTAGTTTGAGAGTAAACAGATCCGCAGAGAATGTGATAACCGTCACTGCTCGGAGGAGAACCCAACAGCGTAGAAGTCTTGGACTACCTGAAGCAAAAACTAGCAGCTACAGCACTGCGACCTTCGAAGGTACAAGAAAAGCAACGACGCCGGAGACAAATCGAGCATTCGAGACCAATCAGCGAGGCTTTTACAGGAACTTGCAGGCGCGACGGAGGGATACAGATCAGAACAACGTTCAGATTCCTACCTCAGATGCCATCAATACCTTCTGGTCAGGAATTTGGAGCAATCCAATCAATCATTCCACATCTAAATGGTACCGCCAAGAGAAAGCAAATAATTCAACTTTTAGGACCATGCTCGACTGGAAAGTAAGCTTAGATGACGTGGGTAAATACTCTACGAAAATTACCAAACTGGAAAGCCCCAGGATCAGATAAGCTTCAGAATTATTGGCTAAAAACGTTCACTTCGGCTCACGATCGACTCGCAAAGTGTTACACCTCAATCTTAGAGCAACCAGATATGTTGCCAGAGTTTCCTAACAATGGGAATAACATATTTAATCCCAAAGTGCGGCGATCACTCGAACGATCCGGCAAAATACCGACCAATCTCCTGTCTGCCGACTATTTACAAGGTATTGACTGCTATAATTACTGAAAAGATATATTCTCACCTAGAGCGGAATACTATACTAGACGAGAGCAAAAAGGTTGCCGAAAAGGGTCTCGAGGCTGTACAGAGCAACTTGTATAGACTCTGTCATAACTAATTATGCCAAAAAGAAAAAAAAATACCCCTGTACATTGCATACATCGATTATCAGAAAGCGTTTGACAGTATACCTCACTCTTGGCTGTTAGAGGTGCTTGACCTTTATGGGATCGAGTGCCACATCAAACAATTTCTGGCACATGCTATGGCGAATTGGAAGACACGGCTCTATCTCAACACCCAAGATACGCAATTTAGTGCCTGAGAGGTATCCATCAAGAGAGGAATATTTCAAGGAGACTCTTTAAGTCCGCTATGGTTCTGCTTAGCGCTTAGACCGTTAACAACAATGCTAAATAGCCAAAAGAAAGGAATACTGTTAGGTGGCAATGAAACACGCATTTCACATCTTTGGTACATGGATGACCTCAAACTTTTTGCAGAAACCAAAGAACATCTTCATAAACTTCTGGACTGTGTAAGTAAATTCAGCACTGACATCAAGATGCTGTTTGGCTTAGACAAGTGCAAGATCAGTTGCATGGTAAAAGGCCAATGGAGTAAACATTCAGGATATGAGCCGAACCAAGTGCAAGGGAAAATTGAAGGAATGCAGCAAGATGAACAGTATAAATACTTAGGCTATCTACAAGCGCCGGGCATAGACCAGAAAGCTGCAAAAGAAAAGGCAATGGAGCTCTGTAGAACACGTTTGAGGGCGGTGCTGAAAACAAGTCTGTCAGCTCGTAATACAGCACTTGCTGTCAGCACCTACGCTACTTCGGTCCTTACCTATACGTTTGGCATACTGAACTGGACGGATACAGAACTGAACGCACTTAATGTGGAAACCAGAAAGGAATTCCGTAAACACCGGGGACACCACCCACATAGTTCCATAGAGCGGTTCCATCTACCACGAAGTGAGGGTGGCAGAGGAATACCTTGCATACCTACACTACATCACCGCCAAGTGGACAATCTACGCCAGTACTTCCTCCAAAAAGCCACATCCAGCAGAATGCATCAAGCAATAACACAGACGGATAAAAAGTTGACACCACTAAACCTTTCAGAAAAATCTTTCGACCCTGAGGCAAAGATAACCCCAATGCAGGATCTGGTTCGCCAATGGAAAGCCAAACCACTACATGGTCGGTATAGGAGCCGCATAGAAGACAACGCCATTGACACGAAGGCTTCCCAAGGATGGTTGCAGTCAGGTAATCTGTTCCTGGAGACGGAGGGCTTCATCTAGCCTCATCCAGGATCAGGTAGTCCCAACAAAGTTGTACCGAAAGCGTATAATGCATGAGAACGTTGACGATATCAGATGCCGCATATGTGGGGAAAAAGATGAGCACATAGATCATATTGTAGCAGGCTGCTCTCCCTTAGCTCCTAAACAATATCTTGAAAGGCACATGATGTGGCCAAAATACTTTATCAAGCTTTGGCTAAAAAGCATCTAGGCGAAACTGGTACACAGCCCTACTATAAATACACGCCGCCACCTGTGATAGAAACGGAGACCTCTAGGCTGTACTGGAACCGTAAAATCATAACTGACAGGCCCATCCCCAACAATATTCCTGACATAGTGCTCACACTAAAAGAAGAAAGAACGACGTTTATAATAGACATAGCTGTGCCTCTTCCTACTAATATCCAAACCACCCATGCGGAAAAAATCAATAAGTATTTGCCACTCTCCGACGAAATCAAACGCATTGGGAAATGGGCAATGTGTCTATAATACCAGTTATAATAGGAGCTACTGGAGAGATACCAAGGAAACTACACAAGAGTCTGGAAAAGCTACAGCTCCATCCAAAAATATACTTGCAACTGCAAAAGCTGCACTGCTGGGAACATGTAGGACAGTACGTAGGGTTTTAGGAGATGAGAACCGGATACGGTGAAAAGACCGCTGCAGATCTATTTCCTTACTTTGGCTAACCGCCTGAGGGAAATATTAATACCTTCGACAGGAGGTAAAATAGTATAAAATATAATTATAATAATATAATATAAAATATAATAATATAATAACAAAATAATAATATTTAATAATAATAATAACAATAATAATATTATAATAATAATAATATAATAATAATAATAATAATAATAATAATTATAGCAATCATAATAGTAAATTATAATAATAATAATAATAATAATAATAATATACTAATAATAATAATTATATAATAATTATTATTATTATTATTATAATATTATAGCTATATAATAATAAATTATAATATATATAATAATAGCTATAATTGTTGGAACGCGTACTAGCGTCACCCCCCGCCGCGCGCTACTGGCGAGACAACCAGACAGGTTGCCTAACCTAGAAGCTTGTAACCGCCGTCCTGTCCCCGCGCGCCGCACCTCGGAATGCTGTCAGTCGTGAAGAGTCAGTGGTGCCATTTCTAGGGAAGTCTCCCTAGTTCTAGGAGAATTTACGATGTTTTCTAGTTCTAGGGACTTTTAGGGAAATAGGGAAATTCTAGGGATTTTTTACCGTTTCAAAAAAAAGATTAATGATAATTAAATTCCAATCTATATTGCAAAAACATAAACGGACCCTGTTAACATAATTGTTAAATAAAACAGTATACAGCTTTGCTAATTACAAGGTTGGTTACACTGTACATCTTCTGTACTTCTGTGTGAATCGTGAATCACCGATAAGTTCTCCGCCACCTGCCGCCACCGACGACTGTATTACGCATACCCAGTTCAATATTAAAGTGTGAAGCGAGGTTTTTGAGTGCGTTTAATGTGAATATTAGGACGGTCAAATTAAAAAGAATCTTTGTTCAAAGTTTTAAGTTTAGTTTTGTGATGATGGAGTCCGATTCTGATCAAATGTAAGTTGCATAATATATTATAGG